AAATCATATTAGTCTTCCCGGAGTTGGATCTCCCACTCACTACAATATAGAAAGGATACTTTGGACTATCAATATCATCTAAAGATTTTTTTGACGGCTTGATTTCGTCGACGTGGTATATATAATGATATTTCATTCTGATACTAGTTTAACTATATCTTTGAAATTTTTTTATTCTTGGCAGAGTGATCGGCGTTTTTTCTAAACGCGCACGTGAATTTTTTCCTAAATATATATATACATAAGTATAAACATGATGAAACTTACCGAAGCTCAAACTTATGCCGAAAAACGCGGAGGAAAAGTTCACATCCAAACTGGTCCTACAACTTTCTTATTTTCATGCAATAGAAATCACTTATGGGAGAGACCAATCGAAGTTATTACAAAGAGATATGACTGGTGCCCTCTATGTCCTCATTCGAAAGGAGAACGTACATCAAGGTATATATTCGAAGATCTGTTAGGAAAAAAGTTTCCACCTCGTGCACCAAAATTTTTACAAGGGATGCGCTTCGATGGATACAATGAGGAATTAAAACTGGCCTTCGAATTTAATGGTCAGCATCACTATGCTCTTAATCCAATGTTTCATAAAAGTGGACAAGATTTGAGCGAGCAAAGGAAACGTGATCAAAAAAAGCGGGATATATGTAAGCAAGAAGGTATATGCCTCATCGAAATACCATATTTCGCAGATATCGAATCTTTTATAAGAGAAGCTTTAACCAAGAACGGCTATCTCCAAGACCGTCCCAATTGATAATGGTGTATTTCGAAAATGCTCTGGTTTTGAAGTCACATGGTTAACGGTTTGGTAATGATATTTTTGGATAAATTCATCTGGCGGATATTCAAGATTTTCCATATCTATGATTTGCAATTCTTCCCTCTTGAATGGTCTACGTGGATTTCTACCCATTAAATGTCTTGTAGATTCAACTGCTTCCTTCTCTAAATAATATAAGACTGGCTGTGGTGGATTTTTTCCAACAACAATTTTTCTGATTTGATAAACACGTAGACTCCAGTATGGATCAGTTGCTCGGCATCTATGACCACCTTCCAATTCTCTGGGTTTTAATAAGTATCGAACAGTGATACCCTTTAGTACCATTACCTCATCTTCTCCAATTGGTCTCTTGGGTTTTATGGAAGGTTTAGATATCACTTTTTACAACGTCATAGCATGGGATGGAGTCATTCCAATTAATCGTGTAGGACTGTTGTTCATATAGTCAAAAATTACTTCGAGAATCATATTCCACAATGTCGAACGTTCTCCTGCTGGTAATTTAGATTCTATTGCATATTGAATCTTGTATATTATTTCTGCTAATCTTCGTTTCAATGCTTTGACCAATGCTAGACTTTCGAAACTATAAAGATCGACAACCCAGATAGAAACATTATATCGTTGCATTCCCCACGAAAAATATCCAGAGAATTCTTTACCTCCGTCCAGCATCAATAATTTTGGCCATGTATGAAGATTTTTAGGATCATTGTAAATTTCTTCGATAGCTTTCCAAACTTCTAAACTATTCTTCGATGTTAATGAGCGTCCACTTTTATAACGCGTAGCAATGTCTATAACCACTAATGTATAACGATATATTTTTTCACCATCCTGATCATCATAACCATGGGCCAGCAGATCGCACTGATGTACTTTGTTAGGAATAGATATCTTCTGAAACCCTGCTCCGGCTTTGCATTTTTGCGGAAAGAGATATATTTGACGGACGAACTGATGATTAAGCCAGGATTCAATATCAATAAGGCAAAATCTATAACCTTCTTTTCTGCACGTGTCTAACAATTTTTTGGCATTCGAATAAAATCCAGGTACATGATAGTAAATTAGACGAAGAACGATTTTTAACTCCTCATCAGCGCTGATTATAATGGTA